CAGGGAGCACCTCTGCTTTCCTGGGAATTAGGACTACAAGCAAACATATTTCTATTATCTTGTTTTTAATTTTATTGAAAGCTGTTTGGTTTAAAATAAACTATTCCTCTAGAGCCTTTGGAATCCTAACCATATTAAGAACAAAGAAAGTGATCAGTAACATTTCAGTATTATGAAATGCTAAAAAAGAAAAGAAGGGCTGGGGGGGTTGGAAGGGTTATATGAAACACATGGTACGAGAAATTTCCCCCCAAATGAAAAACATTAATTTGGTGTTAGCCAATAAAGCACTGCCAAAAACGAATAAATGCAAAGGCTTAAGATCTAGAAAAAATAGAAATGACCATGACCAACATTTATCAGTGTCTATTTGTAGCTCTATAAGGAGAGAAGATTCTTTAGCAGATAAGCCTACAGTAAGATATAAGGAAAAAATAGTAGTTGTCCACAATGTTGAGAAAGGCTAAGAACCTGTGCTGGGAATTGTATTGACTACAGTTCATACTTTTTGTTACATATCTCGGTTCAGATCAATGTTACATTGGACTACAACAATATAAACATAATTTTAAAGAACTATGCCATACACACCCTTTGAAACTTGGAAAAGGAAACCATATGTCTGGGGTCATCCAGCAATGCAGACCCAGCCTGCTTTCTAGTCTCAGTTCTCTCCTTCATCAGGTATTTGCTACTAGTAATTTTCTATGAATAACTGTTAGCCTATGTACCCTAGATCAGGTTTTTTGTTTTTTGTTTTTAAGGGGGGAAGAAGAAAAGAGGTAAAAAGTTACAGAAACAACATGGGGCAATAACAATAACAGGAAGTGAGATTCAGGGGGCTTTAACACACACACACACACACCACACCACCCACCTGGCTTGAACACACACACCTAACTTGAACACACACACACCTGGCTTGAACTCAGCGAATTCTGCCACCAAAGCAGCCAGTGATGAAGGGTAAGTCATTTACTTGCTCTTATTCTTAATTTATTTGGGTACTTTTAAAATATTACGTATGTATTTAAGTATAATATTTATTTCAAATAAAAGCTTCCCTTGGAAGCTCAGTATACTTAGGAAAAAAAAAAGTAAAGCTGCTCTGACTCATGACAAAAATGAGAGCTGAGAGTCCTGTCCAAATAACCCTCTCATCTCCTGGAGGCAGGATTGGGGGTGCAGGGAGGTGCATCCTCAGAAGCCCCAGTTCACTCAATGTACCATTTGAAACTAATGAAGCAGATCAGTGGAGGTTACACTCTTAAATTTCATGGACTAGGAAAAATTCAAAAAAGATTTGGAAAGATTGACATAGAGGTTTTACTTTGTCAAGAAATGATGATTTTTAAAATCACTATTATTTCATAAATGAAAGGACAACGAGAGCCAAAAAATAAATAAAAAGAACGTTCTATTAAAATGAATAAATTTAGCTTCGCTTCATGAAACTATCAGTGGCCAGAGAAAAACACATTACAGACCAGTACATTAGGAAGCCACTCCAGACCATCTCCCTCAGGCCTATTCATGTTCTAAAATTATACAACTTCTACTTCTTTGGCTCTCCTATTCTGAAAGAACTAACCAGGAACACCGTAGGTATCCAAAAAAACTATTTTCTAAGACTACTATTTGTTAGTAAATAAAGTGCCCCAGAGTGACTGAAATAAAAAAGCAACAAAGACCAGAGAAAATCAAGTTAAAATTTATGACTATAAAACTTCAATCTCAAAATGTATGACATCGTCTTAGTTATTTTAATTCTCTCCACACCTAAAAAATAAGAATCATAAGCAACACTTAACTTCCTAGTGTTTAAGTGTTACTCTTTGTTCCTTCATACTCAGTGTTCAGTTTTATCAACTTCATACTTTTGTTTAATAAGTTCTACTTTCTTCTCAAAGGCAGCATAGCACTGAGATATTTCTAGGGATCTCTTTCCTCATGTTTCAACCTGTTGTTTCTTTCTTTACTGGAAAATCCTTCTGGCCACCAGAGGCATGTACAAGTACTTGTGATCATCAAAGAAACATGAGGGCTGGACAATGAGGTGAAGCTACATAATCTCCCTGAACCCAAAAAGCAATGTGGTCTATTGATCACTGCTACAAACTATTTTCTTTATATCTGTTTAAAATTTCTAAGTTATAAGAACATACAACATCCTGTTAGCTAAAGTAAAAGTTCATTGTGCAATTCAAATACTTCTCTGCTAGTTTTGATACCCAAAAGACCTTTATCTCTCAAATCACTAAATATTAGGTACCCAGAAAACCTTAAAAGTTTCAACTTCATGCTGCTCTCCTACTCCTGAAACTGCATATAACATATTCTACTCAGATCTTAGATCCGTCTTTTAACAAAAAGTTGTATCAGATTCCTGAGAAGTTCATTCCAACTTTATTTTACTGTACTCAAACTTTAAAGCAATTTTCTTAGGAATACTTTCTATGTCAGGGAAGAGATAACCATCAACCATCATTTGAAAACTCTTATTATCATTGTCTTCTCTTTTCTTCGAAATAAAGATAATTCCATTAACTTTTATTCAAGCACTTTTTTTCCAATTAAAAAAAAATATTCTATATCCTCTATGTTCCTCATAGTAAAGCACATTTGCTGAAGGAAGCACAAACAAGGGAGAAAGACAGCTATGAGTCCCTTTCTCACACTTTTTTTCTATGCACTGATTTCTTAAAATAGATATAAAGGGGTAAGACTATATTTCCCAGTATAGAAAATCTGCAAATATCATTTTCTTTCACCACAAAGGCATCATTTGGAAATCCTACAGGTTCAGAGATTGAAGGACACTCTAGACTGAAGCTGACCAAAGGGCCTCTAAAGGCACAGTCTCAAGTCACACAATGATTATGTTTAAATATATTAAGGAGAGGACAAAGCTTATTCTAAAATTATCCTATCCATTATTTAGAGTGCACAAGCACGCGCGCATGCACATATACAAGAGGGAACCTGATCATTCACGTCATATCTCTCTTAGACATCACAAAACTTCGGTCCATCACCATTTTAGAGTTCCTACATATAATATTTTCTGAGTCTGTTTCCAAAGGGGCACCTGAAAAACCATAAAGGTCTTCATCCTGTCACTTTCATTTGAAAAGAAGCTGGGTATAAAAAGGTTAATTCAAGCTAACTCCTTGGGCTCCTTCGGTCTGCCTGAATCTGTCAGAGCTGCCAGTCCTTAGGGCCTTGAGGAATATCTGAGTCCTGGCTACAACCTATTCACTCATGCCTCTGCTAATATCACTCTTAAAAGAGTGAAATGAAGGCAGCTCAACTATTCAGAGTGATACACAGACTATATATTGAAAGCTCCTGGCTGAGCAGCAAAGCCATGCCAGTTGCAGAGCCTCTTCTATTTATTCCCAGAACAATCCTTGGTGGTTATTCAGAAATGAGATGTCCTCTTGACAATGAATTCCTCTTCCCTTCTTAGATGTCAAGAAACAAACATACATGACAAACATGAGAGAGGGTGAGGAGTAAAAGAATTGGCTTGGCTGGAGGAGTTCACTCTAGAGATCTGCCCCAATTGAAAAACCTAACTCTGCCGACCTTCACAGCTTTGTGGTTGTTTATTTCCCAGCTGGCACAGTATCAAAACCAAATACATACACCAATTCATAGGGAGATAAAAGAAGGGGCACAAGAAGGGTAAGAGCAATTTCTTACAGCTTAAACCGCTATGAAAGATAAAGCATACGGTACCCACAAGTATAAAAAAATTAACCACATTTAGCAATATACAAATATGCATGAATGCACACAAAGAAAATACAGTATCAGGGCTTTCTTTTGGCTCCAGATTATAGGTTTCATTTTATAATTTTATATGCAGAAATAAGAGCTTCTTATTGAAGAAGGTTTATTTTTATAGGAATATGCAATATTCATTCATAAATATCAAATGCTTTCACTAGATTTAAGATTTTCTTTTTAAATTAAAATTTTTACCACTACAGCCCCTAAGTTCTAATTTCCATGCCATGACAGTTCACGTCAGGATTTTAAAACCATATGGAAATTCTACCACCCAATTTAGCAGTCAGGCTACACACACTGTAGTTCTCGTTTTGGGGCACCTTTGAAGACAGAGTGATATTTAATACTGAATTTAAGAAGTCTTTTCATCTTATGCTGTGGAGTAATTGTTTCCCACTTCAGAACTATAACATGAGTTATCATCTCTGACTTGCTCTCTTAAGTGCTATGGCCAGCATGGAAAAAAATGACAGAGAACATGGGTTTACTCAAGGGAGTCAGATCTTTGCTAACTGCCAAGAAGAAATCATGGCTAGTGTGGCACAGCACGACGAGATACAGCATGAGAAATGACATACGTTACTGCCCTTTGGTTCTAGGAAATCACTTCTACTAAATGTCCTCAGAATGCAGAAGCTGAACATTTCTAAGTGTTGAACATTCCAAATAAAAATTATTGCTACACATGGATGGTGTTTACTATTATTGTACATATATACTTGAGGGAAACTGTACATATATGCCTGCTGAAAATTTTTTTCTACAAAATATATAATGAAGGTGGGAGCTACAAAGAGCTTTCCCCTAGATTCTAGGAGTTGAACTGAAGCAAGCAATGCTTTCAGTTATCTATTATAAAGTTGGAATCACATAGGTTGTCTACCAAGTATAAAGATGATATAGTTCAAAAGCCTATCGGTCCTGACCCACAGAGTCAACCATCTCCTATATTTAATAAAATATAATGACAAAAGGTTGTGGAGGAGTAGGGCAAAGTCCAATAAACAAATTATCTTAAGCATTTTTCATCCTGTGTCACAGAGGAAACAAATAAATATAAGAAAGTAAATAACAGGCACACATGGACTTAAGTCCACTTCGAATGTCATGATGTATAAATAAATATAAAAGGCAGATGGAAAAGAGGGGTATTTAAATTCCAATCACTGTTACAAACATTTTCTCATTAAAATATAAACCCTTACCTTTGCTTGTCTCTTACTGGCTTCTCTTCTGGCTTCCCTCTCTTTCAGTCTTTTCTCCTGCAAGAAAAGGGGGAAAATTAGCAACATACAAACTTCTGTCTATTAGGTGTAAATCAGACTACACAATCATAACAATTTTTTTAAGCCAACTAATATGTGACATTCATTTTCCATTCATAACTGAGTAAATATTTATGAGGTTGGCATACATATGCATAATCATTAAGTATGTGTCAAACAGATCTGGAATCAAATCCCACTTCTACCACTTACTAGCTATGCAATTTGGGGCAACTTATGTATGTTCTCTTTCACTTTCTCATCTAAAAATGGAGATAACAGGAGCACATATTTCATAAAATTGGTAAAAGAACTATATAAAATAACATACATAAGTATTTAGCATAATATCAGACATATGACTAAGACACAATCACTGGCTATTAGAATAAAAGAAGGAAACAAATGCAATTTTGACTATTTCCCTTTTTCTTTGTCTAAAAGCAGAATTTACAAGGATATAAATCCCCATCCTTGGGAAAAATGACAATATTTTCTGAAATAAAAAATAATGGATGATCACTCTTATAAAGCACGTTATTTTATTAAATTGCTTTGTAATTTCCCCCATCAGTTTGCCAATCATCATGAAATAGGCAGGAAATGCAGCACTAAAATTTTTTTAAATAAGAAAAAAATACATGTGTTTGATATTAAAATTCAAAACAACAAAATGATCCAGCTAAAGTTGAAAATAATTGTTTTAAATAAAAACTTCCTTTCCTCTTAAAAAATAGTGTTACATAATTAAAAAGCTATTCTCAATCCAAAGTTCATAGCTAACAATTTATATATATTTTTAAATTTTAATAAACTATTAGGTCAATGTAAAAAGTGAATAAACAGCAAATAATTTTCTTTTTATGAAACTGCATCCATGATTCACTATTACATTAAATATCAAGTAACATGAGAATTAACAAGCTTTATAAATCTGGGTACTGGCCTATCATTACCATTATGCTTTATACATACATGGCTTTTCCCGGATTCAAAAATCAATTCTAATACATACTCTGAAGAGAGACCTGAGGTTGCTCTGTTGTTTACAGCTTTCAGGACAGGTGATTACTACTATCTATCTTATCTGTTTATAGACTCCTTTATAACATAAATGTTGAAAGTCTCAAAGAAGGTTAAATATTAATTAATGCAAAGAGGAAGAGAATCCACAGAGTTTAGAGATTCACTTTCTATAGCTTCAGACTGCATAGCAGGAAAGCTAAATTCCAAATGAAACTAAGAAAAATTCAAATTCGAATGGCAACTGTGAACATGTCACACCCATAAATAATGCATAACATTAAAATTATTCTTTTCTGTGACTATTATTCTTTCTCTAGCCCAGTTTTGGAGAAAACGAGTATTATTTCAACTTCCAAATAAAACATACAACTAAAAATGCAGATAAAACTTAAATAATGTGCAATTATACAGAGAAATATTCTAAAGATTATTCAGAAGTTCCAAGACCAAGGTCAAAGGAAAAGGAAAGATGAAGAAACGAAAACTCAGAACTTGACTTGTTCATGTCAAAGAGCTTCGTAAGTGACAGAGACCAATCTCAAATTGGTCTAATGCTAAGTCTAATGCTTTGTTCCAATACATTCTAATAAAAACTAAAATGTAAGGTTTGGAGACTTTAACAGATGTCACTTAAATAGCAGAAGAAAATAAGATCTAGTATTATTTTAACAAGTAACCAATTAATGCAATAGTTATTATCACTATCTATCCCCGAATTGGTTCTCTAAAGAATTTGAGAGTTGTTCTGCCACGAAAGTAAAATAATCTCAATGTTTTCCTCAATTTGTGGGAGGAGAATAACGTTAATGGATGGCAGTTTATCGAAAGATTTGCACCCAAATTTTTCATAAAAGTTGGTACCAATTACTAATTTTCTACAAGCAGACTACTAAATAAAGTAGCAAAATAATATTAAAGAAAAGAATTTAAAACAAATGATCATTATTATGCTGCTTAAGAACTGGCTTTAGTTTATGGATTAAGTGTTTGTAATTTTATCTCTCTTCTCTCTAATACACACACAACTTAGTTCTATCTCCTACAAAAAGTTTTCATGATTTAGAAGGTAAAATTAAACAGAGCAATATTTTATGTTATTCTACAAAGATCACAGTGACTTTCAAGTGTTGTGCAGCTTAAACTAATTTTAAAACTAAAGCTATACAAAACATCAAATAACTAGAAAGTAATAAAATTGTACTTTTATAAAAATGTATCTTCCTTTGTCTCATTATTACTATTTTCTTACTAACAGTAATACCTCTAAATTATTAAGTATCAGCAGTGTGCTAAGCATTTTACATATATTTTTAAATCTGTGTAACAAAACTTTTGAGGTATTATTCTCATTTTACAGATGAAAAAAATTGAAGATCGAAGTGATTAAATAACGTGCCTGATGTCATACAGCCAGTAAATTATGGACCTAAGACTAAAACTGGGTCAAAGGAGCCAAAGTCCTCACTCCCTCATCTCTAGGATGCTTCCACACCCCTCTCTCCACCATTAGAAAGTTTATTTACCTTTGTAGATGCATACATAGTGTTTTATTGTTATCGATGTGTTTTAGATAAATGTTGTGTTTTTTTATTAGAAACAATGTTCTGCTACTAATTGGTCTTTTCATCCTGATAGCATATTTTTCCTGATAGCATTTGTGGACATTAATTATTTTTTGCCAGTCTTACCAGATAATTAACTATGTTTAACAGTCACACAAATTTTTGTTGTAATTATTCAGTAGCTGGCCTTCTCCCAACACATTAGAGAATCTGAAAATGGTACTTTAAAGTTACAAAAATAACCTCGGTATGTTCACATCAGAAAAACCACTTCTATACATGTAAACATAATCTTTATTTTCGGGCTTTTCATCTAGCCAATTTAATCACTGCAGAAAAAAAATATATTGACAATTTTCCACTACTACTGAACTCCAGTATTAATTCATTATAGTCAATGAAGGGCATTTTAAATTTCAGATTCCAACTAGCTATCAGAATTCAAATGTGCATGCAAATGGGATAATTCTTTCCTTTTAAGATTTCTTCCACAAGTTTCAGATAGATAAAAGATATCCAAAACCTTGAAAATATGAAATGAAAATGACTACGACATGAAACTGAAGAGCAATAAAAAATACATACTTTTAATACTGGGTGAAACAAAAGGAAAACTAGAAAACTTTTCATTCTTATCTTAAAAACTTATGTTAACACTATCTGAAAAGAGGCAAGAGTAAACACTGGTCTTTAAACAGAGGAAAAGAACAGGAAACAGAATTATAGTAATCCAAAATTTTGGAAATGGATATAAGGAAGAAAGTACAATTTTTTTAAGGCAGGAAAGAATTCTTTGTCAAAAAATATAGATGTTATAAATGACAAGACATAAAAATAAAAGGTTGGAGTACAATGACTTGAGGGGGAAAATATAATTGAATTTTATTAGATTCAGTAAGTGAGGTTTCCCCCATACTTACCTTAATTTTATGTGGTTCAAATGGTTTAAATCCTTTATTTTATAATTTCGTTTTTGAGGATAGATTAGTACCAAAAGATATTTTTTGCCACACAAAATGAAGGCAACATTTTACCTTTAGTTCTGCCATGCTACAAAGATTAAGTATAAGAACGGCATGAAATTCAATAATAAAAATCAAATTCACCTGGACAGGAGAACAGAAAAATCCCATTTCAAGGTACAAAAAAACTCCCTTTATAGCTACTGTTATACTTCCTTTGGTTTTTCACATACTACATACAGGTCCTTAGCTTCCAGAAAAGAAAGTGCCATGAAATACAAATTTCATCAGCAGTCAGGACTATGTATTTAAGCCATTTTCATTCTATGGTGATCTTGCAAATTTGTAGAAGTGAAAATACAATTCATATTTCGGGAGGTAGAAGAAGCATTGAATGAGTCTCAGGCAACTGCGTCAGCCTGGTAAGGAACTGAGTTCCCAGCTGTCACAAAGAGAAAGAGGAAACATCTCTCCTTATTTCTGTATTACAGGAATCTCTTTTTCAGGGAAGAAACCTGGCTCAACAGAAGTGAGTACAAGAAGGATTACAAGATTTTTGGCCCTGAAGATACCCTTTGCCTTCCAAGAACAAAACCCTCATCATCCTAAATCCCTCCCAGGAATTTAGAACACAACAAGGTTATCTGATCTGTTATAGAGTGTCATTTGAACAACATAAACATTGGTCTTCAATATACAAATCTGTTAAGTACAAACAAGGATATGAAGACAAGGAGAAAATTTTACTTAAAAACACTGACTGACTAACCAATTCCTTCAAGTATCTGCTGAGCTACTAGGCACCAGGCCCCATGGCAGGCTCTGGGTATATAGGAACAGGTCTTTGTAGTCTGTGACCTAATCTTTCAGAACCCTTTAATTCCTTTAGTACCAAACTCCACTGCTACTCCTTAACCCCAGTCTCCGGCTATTAACCGCCAATCTAACAACCACCACACCTCTCAAAACACCATATGGAGTTAAAAGAAAATCCCACAAAACAAAAAACTTAATATAGATAATAAACAGCTCAAAGACTTGCCACACACTGATAAGATCTATGCAATTTTGAGTATGTCTCATTTTAGAAACTGGATATGAAGGAGGGCTCAAGTACTAAAATGAACTGAGTATCGCAAGATGCTATAAACTCATGAGATTAAGAACAGAAACGTCCCAGGCGGACATCTCCAAATTATAGGCAAAGGTTCTGTAGTAATAAGCTGGCTCCTTTTTTATAATTAACCCGGTTGTGATGATGACAGGAACAACTGAAAGCGGAAGGAGGAAGGGTTTATAGAGGAAGAGGATCAGTTTTCCTCCTCTGTAAATAAGATTTAGTTCATGAAGTCCACTTTAGAATTAAGTACCAGATGCTTTTAGTCCCTGCCCTCATGATAACATTTCTGACATTAGTAAAATTTCATAAAGCTTATGAGCCAGACCA